CCCTGCAGGTTTCTGAGACTGTAAATCTTTATGGGAGTAGAAACCCTCGTCTGGTGGTTTTGAACTGCTGCCCATGTACCACTCGTAACCACTACGCCAGCAGGGCTCCTTGCCTGTGTAAGGCAGCCCAGGGGAGTACACTAAGCAGTCAGTCCTAAGGAAACGAATGGTCACCCCCATTCCAGTTGTGTGTGTGTGTGTGTGTGTGTGAGACTCTACCTTAAGGGCATCCAGGATCCTGCCATCATAGTCGATCACCACCGTGTCTCCTTGCTCCCCCTTGAGCCCGGGTAGACCCTGTGGCAGGGAGAAAAGTCAGCGTTTCAGGGAAGAGCTGGCATGGGGCAGGCAGCCCACAGAGGAGGCTGGCAGGAGACCCCACCCCCCGAGTGTCATGTGTGCTCACAGTGTGGCCGGCCTCGGCCCCGTTGGAGGACCCCTTTGCCCTTCCTCCTGGGAACTTGCTCCCAGGCTTGATAATAAAATGCCCCCAGGTGGGCCTGGTGCTGCCCATGTCTGGCCTGCAGGGTTGGCATTGGACCAGGAAACTCAGGCTTTCTGAAAGCCTGGCCCTCTCGTTTCAAAAAGGACTCGAGACCCTTGTTAGGCTGTGAAGTCCTTCCGATTTTTAAAGGCTGGCCAGAAACGTCCATCAAGAAACCTGAAACAAGAGTCCATGATCCCAAACCAAACCGAATCAAACTGTGCCGTGAAGTCGGTGCCAACTCACAGCGACCCTTTAGGACAGGGTAGAACTGCCCCTGTGGTGTGTCTGAGACTGCCACTCTGTATAGGAGTAGAAAGCCTTGTCTTTCTCCTGTGGGTCGACGGGTGGTTTTGAATTGCCAGCCTTGCGGTTAGCAGCACAACGTGTAACCACTATGCCACCAGGGCTCTCTCAGCCACGGGCCACCATGTCACACCCTGGAGGAGAGGCTGCCCCAACCACGCACTCACATCCCCACTGGTTCTCGGCTGCCCCTGTGGGTCGGTCCCAGGTGGCTGGCACCTGCGGAGACCCAGGCCTGCGTGTGTCCCGGCCCCTCGCTGAGGTGGGCCTGGTGGAGCTGTGCTATTTGTGTGGTGGTCTCACACTCAGCGCTGCCTCTAGTCCCGTCCTCGGCCACCCGCACAGCCGGGCGTGGGCCCAGAGCCCCTGCAGCAGGAAACCATGCTCTGGGAACGTGAGGGCTCCTGGCTGCTCCGGTGATGGTGGGAATGAGACCCCGGGGACCACATGTGACAGCATAGAACAGCTCCATCAGATGTTCTGGGCTGTGATCGTTACAGAAAAAGATCACCGGGTCTTTCTTCTGAGGAGCTGCTGGGTACATTCGAACCACTAACCTCTAGGTGATTATAGCCGATGGCAAACTGTTTGTGCCACTTGGGGACCTTAAAGGGATGTGGACAGGGCTGGTTAAACATGACCTGGATGAACCCAGCTGCAGGGATGAACCTTGGGGTGGGGTCAAAAGAGAGGGCACCCACCAGGCCAGGTGCAGGACAATGGCTAAGCCGGAAACCAAACTCATTACCCTAGACCCACAGCGAACCTAAAGACAGGGTTGGAGTGCCCCTGGGGGGCTCTGAGCAGGAGTAGATCCTGTATTTTTCTCCCCAGCAGTGGTCAGTGATTTCAAACTGCTGACCCTGAGTCTCACAGCCCAGTGCTTAACCACCACCCTCCCTGGACAATGGCAGGAAGGACCAATTAAGGACCTAGGTCTGAATGTGCAAAGAAGAGTCTGGAAGGGCAGTCACTCAGCTAGAGGGAGAGGGGAGAAGGGAGAGGTTGGGTGGATTTCACACATTCTTATTTCAACGTTGTTCAAAACATATGTATTATGAAA